GGAGGGGGGGGGGGTGAGGACACATGGGTCCCTAGTCCGTTCATTGATAATATGACAGCTTAGATTTTCCTGTTGCTACATTTATCTTTATTTTTCCTTTTTCACCTGTCTTTAGTAAAACTAGGCATTTCTCTAGACTATGCAACTTTACAATTTGGTCAACACAACATTCATCTTAACTAGTACTCCCTCCGTTCCTAAATATTTGTCTTTTTAGAGACTTCAAATGGTTACCACATACGGATGTATATAGACATATTTTAGAGTGTAGATTCACTCATTTTACTCCGAATGTAGTCACTTGTTGAAATCTCTAGAAAGACAAATATTTAGAAACGGAGGAAGTACTTTTTTAACAAATGACATGTTTTTCTCCCACAAATTTTGATAGTGGCATACATCTTAATTAATTGTATAATTTCTAACGTACGGACGGAATATGCACACATTAACACGTTCAGCATGTTTAATTAGATATTATATTTGATTAATTTATGTTCAATACACTCGTATGGGCATCCGGATGACTGTTTGGACAAGGTCTACTGATGGCTACTGATGATGTCTCAATTAATTGTTCGGACAAAGTCTACTTTGGATTTGTAATTAATTGTTTTTTTTTTGCCAGACCCGGTCTACTGATGGCAATATATATTGCACACGGTCATATTCATGTATATTAGATGACCTACTCTACGTCACCTGGTCAACGCGCTTATGCTTACACCCGATGATCCTTGAACACATCCATCGTCTATATATGTCGACCCGCTAATATCAATGATCTCACAACACACCATCCATCCTGCAGCCATTTCTCTCCCAGCTTGCTTTCTTGGAGCTTCAATTCGTTAGTTGATCGGACAATACAATCAATTTTTTTCTCTAGGGCTAACTTCCATCTCTCATCATATTGTCAGTTACTACTTGTTAGCTGGCTAGTCCATCCAGATTTAATCCATGGAGACCAAACCTCTTCTCTTGATCACCGTGGCCGTGACCATGCTTGGGACGGGGCTGGGCGCCAGCCACACCGTGGATGCGCCGGATGGGTCGTGGGACCTTCATACCAACTAGTCCCAGTGGGCTTCGAGAATCGGGTTCACCACCGGCGATGAGCTCAAGTTCCAATACTCCGCCGCGTCCACAATGTGGTGGAGGTCAGCAAGACGGGGTATGACTCCTGCAACGGCTCCAGCCCTGTAGCAACTTTACCGACCGGTAATGATGTTGTTCCACTTGCCGCCGTCGGCATACAGTATTTCATATGTGGCGTTCACGGGTACTGCAACGCCGGCATGAAGGTCGAGGTCAACATCAAGACGAAAGAAGTGCGGATTGTGCAGCGGTGCCGATGGACAGGGAACCGGCGTCGCTACCAGTCTGAGACAATATTAAGCTCAGCTGCGGTGGTTGGCGTTGATCAGTCTGCGGTTGCCCAGCTCGGTCTGGTAGTTGTTGATGTTGGAAATATGAGCAATTTACCAAATGATTTTATTAATAGAAATATTAGATAAAGCATGATTGATATAACATGGATAAAAGTAGTCATGCAATCTGACAGAGAGAAGGTAAATAACATCTTCATATATGAACTGCAACCAAACATGTCTAAAGCAGATAGTAAAACAGGTTGCATAGATAGTGTAGAACCTAACATATGTAGGACAGACACTAGAGCAAAGAACTGCGAGAGAACTTCTAACAGAAGAGCAAGAACACGTACGGGACAACAGCAGCAGTAGCACTGGACTTGGGGCCGGTATCGTCGCCAGCCATGTCGTCGAGAAGGTCGTCAACGTCGGGAAAGAAGTCGTCGTCGGGAAAGTAGTCGTCGGAGTCCGGGGCGTCCGTGACGAAGAAGTCAGTAGTCGCGGTGAGCGCTCCCCAAAAACCTTATCACCCTTCTCCCGTACAGGACTCAAAAGGTGCGGTTTTGGAGGCCTACTGTCCCGACCTGCGGTGCACGCCGCAAGCAGGATGGGGAAGAACGTAGCAGCAGCGCAGTGCTCAGGAACTTGTGGTGAGAGGAAGAAGAGGCTTTGGTGCGTCTTTCTGGGAGGAGCGACCTCACTTTTATAGGCGCAAGAGAAGGAGGCGAGAGGGCAGCGACGGGAGGTGAAACAAAGAGACGGAGATGAAGCGAACAGCCAGCAGCCGAAGGGCTGCACCGTTCGCATTCGAACTCCGCTTTCGCAAAAATATTTTCAGTTTTCGTGTGACCTTTCGTATACCCGTAGTGCGTGGCAAAAATTTAGACATCGGCTCGGCGCGACTAGGCGTGGTGTGGCGGAGGAGGAGCGCGCGTGGATGTCCCTCTTGTTCTCATGCTCATACTAATGGGGAAAGAACCTCCCTTATAAAGAGGTCCAACTCTCTCTAAACTAGCAATGTGGGACTAAAATTTAGTTCCACCTCTTACCTTGCACGAATGAGCTGCGTGGGCCTCTAAGATTTATTAAGAATTTTTGAAACTGCTATTGGGTTTTAGAGTGAACGGCGATTGCGGTTATATTTTCCTTGATCAGTCCTAGAATGGTCCTTTTGTGTATTAAATTCAATTCTTTTGTCAAATGTAATTGCATTCGTTACATATCTTCTTGTAAAAACCCAAATAGTAACCAAGCTTATAACCATGAAAGAAATTTACCAAAGATGTGTTTGACTGGAATGACATCACATCCACCCATTATATACAACAGAAATTCAAGCAAAAGCTAAATTCGTCTAGATAAATAACATGATTTTCATGGCCAGTGGGGCAAACACCACTGCAATTTTTTATATCATTAGGAAGTGTGTATGTACGCGCTGGTTTGAGATAAGCCGAAAAATAAGATAAATGAAGAAAAACAAACCTTAATAAACTGGGCCAAAAAGAAGCATGAACAGGAATTACAAGAGGTCGGCTTTCTTTTCTTTTTTTTGAGCTAGAATGGGAGTTTTTATTGCTTAATGTTCAGAGCTACGAGTACAGGTGGGTGGTT